TAGACAGTTGTAAGCACAAACGAGCTTTCTCAACCAAACCTTCTGCAGCACGATCGCCTGCAATTCGTCGGAGGTTATACCGAGTTTGACGTATTGTCATACTATTGTTTTCAGCTCGAATATGCCACAACGTACCTTCCAACTTTTGTGGTGTTTCAATAGGCATATTAATGGCAATTTGTCACGGCCTTCGTATGTTCAAAATGTGTAAATCTTCGCTTAGAACTTCCCTCTCATTCAAACGATATTGCCATTCTTCCCTCATTCTATTCACTAACCGCTGTGAGAAACGTAAACGTGGATTTACAGAATAGAAGAATTCATCCTCTAACGCCCAATGATAACCCATAGTTTCAAACACAGAGCGTGGACTGTAACTCATGTTTGCAGTTGGTAAGTATGGTAATAAAGAAAACCACAATGAATTTATAGTGATATTCTGAAGGACATCATGGTCATTGTTTAGATAGTTGTGGATATATTTTTTAAAAAATTGATGATGTGACTAATCATGCAATACTTCTGATTTGTCTTATCACTAAATGATGTACATCAATATCAGTGTTAAGTCGTCAGTGGTGATTTAACACAACACTACATCTACATTGTCTAGTCTCTCAAATTTCAATCCTCTCTGAATATTCATTGCAATATATTATTTCTAAGTTCAATGTATGTAACATAACAGTGCTAGTACGTTGTTATCATTGTCATAAATATCAATCTAGAGTTTTATTATCACCTACCGGGACCAAGTTGGTTGAAATCTTTTTTCAAGCTCTGTGAACTTGAATTATACTCTCGTTGATTTGACAACTCTTGTAGCAGTACTACTTTGTCTCATCACTGCACACAGCACATCAATATCAATGTTAAGTCGGCAGTGATGCGTTAACACAACATTGTTTGTACAAAAATGTCAATGTTATGTCATCAACGTCTATTTTAATCACAAAGCTTTAGCTGTGTCTAGTAGCTATCATTGCTCGTACATGTACCTTCACTGCAATATTTATTTACTAAGTTCAATGAATGTAATATTAACATAATTTATGCTCCTGTTTAAATACAGCTACTTATCTGCAGTGTAAACCATACTTACACTATAATGTCAACAAAATCACCAAATGCGTCTTCAAGCCAACCTAACGATAACTCATTATCAACCATCCACTACCATCATGAAACATTTTCTTCATTCAGTTCACCAAAACCCGGTAATTACAAAGATCCCCATGGAGTCACATGGTATGGAAATTTACGTTCCTTTAAGAATGAGCCAATCAACATTCATACCCCTTTCACCGAAGTCGGTCATGTTATGATTGGACATGCAACCTTTGTTCCGCCTCTAGAGTTTTATTTTCACCTACAGGGACCAAGTTGGTTGAAATCTTATTTCAAGTGTTGTGAGCTTGAAGTATATTGTCGTTGGCATGGATTACGAGTGCCACAAGCACATTCAGCTGAAATGTATGTGGAATAGTGCACAGATAACTACAATGATATCATTGAAACACTAACTCTTGAAAATAATTAGATGGAACGACGGCTAAATCGATTCCACCTTATTACAAAGGCAAATATTGAACATTCAGCCCCTATAGAGCCTATCAATGCAATACTTTCTGATCAATCGTTGGCTTCTGACAATGAACTTTCTGATTTTGAAGAATCAAGTGATGATAATCATTGTGCAAAATTTGTCCCTGCTACTCTTTGCTTACATGGCACACCACTATGCTGTTGGAAATATGATCGTCATTAGAAATATTTTTTACTAATATGTCTGTATTATGCCGTTTAAAATAAAATCTTATAGTTCTATTTCAACAAAAGACATAACGTCTCTTCATTAATGTTATCTTTTTTTGTTTGTTTTTATTGTAAAAGAAATAAAATTTCTTTCTCCCCGGTTTAGGGTTTTTTGGTTGGGATTAGGGGGGGGACAATTGCTATTCTCTTTTTGGATACTAATATTTTTAGTGGGTAAGGTTTTAAAAGGTTTATGATTTAAGGTTTTATTTGTGTGAGGTGGGAAGAGGTATGATGGGTAGTACTTTTGATTTATTGCTGCAAAGGGAAAAAATGAAACATACCACACAAAACAGATGTGTTAAACATGCTTTTCATTAGAAATCGTTTTCAGTAAGTCCATTTTCAAATGAAAGCAAGTTTAACAAATCAACTTTAATTTTTATAGATAAGTCCTTAAAATCGGCTTTGATAAATACGCTTTCAAAATGAAGTCAGCATTGGTAATTCCGCTTTGACATTGTGTATAACTAAAATATTTATTATTTTTTGTGGATAATTTATTACATTTATAGATATTTTTATCAGTGTNGTAATTCCGCTTTGACATTGTGTATAACTAAAATATTTATTATTTTTTGTGGATAATTTATTACATTTATGGATATTTTTATCAGTGTTGTGAATATTTTTATCAATATTGGTATAACTATTTTTGGTATAAAAAATTAATTATTTTTCTGGGTGATTTATTATTACATTATTTGTAAGTTTTTTTTACCATTATTGTGGTAATATTTTTATTGCTTTTTTTGGGCAAATAAAATTATTATTTTTGTGTATTTTTATCATGTTTCTGGTAATTATTTTTTTATAAACAACAAATGTGGACTAAAAATGTCATGATAACTTAGAAGACGGACTTGACAAATACGCTTTTATTAGAAATCGAATTTTCCAATTCCGCTTCTTAATAAAAGCGTATTTGGTAAGTCCGCTTTCTAATGAAAGCGGATTTGTAAAGTACACTTTCATTAGAAAGCGGAATTATCAAGTCCGCTTTCCTTGGAATATAGCTACAGTTTTTTATTCATAACAGCGGATCTAACAGATCGCTTTCAATTGAAAGTGGATTTAGTAAATCCGCTTTTTGATGTAAAATTGTTTTTGCTAATTCTGCCTTTTAAATGAAAGTGGATTTCATACATCCGTTTTTAAAACAGTGGTAATTTGGTAAATAAGTTGAAAACGGTAGTAGATTGGTATTTAAGTTTGAGAAATGGGGTAAATTGGTAATAAATTCACCTAAATCAGATCTAAACACCCCCATTGGGTTTACCTTGTTCACAGGTTGACCCCATGGCAACAAGAAAAAGCGATCTTGTGCTATATTATGGATATCTCTTCCCTACCAAGGCACGCAAACTCCCATCGTGTCCCAAATCACATTATGTGAATCGAAAGGGGAAGTCTACTCATCCATCAGCACCTCTCATCGGTGTGGTTTTACGAAGCATCCAAGCACAGGTCACTCGCGTTGATCAGGTGGACACTCGATCCAATTGATATTTCACAAGGGCCAAGTAACACCCTAGACGAGTTTGGGGAAGATTTATATAGGTCTCTAAAGATTCAAGTCTTTTATACGGTTAAATAAAGACCTTTTTCTTTCGGCATTCTCGGTCCTATATGGGAAGAACCACCTCTTCCCCTATATCCCTTTGATTGCTTAATATCTCCTCCTTGTCGCACTCTTCTGGTGCAAAGGACTAGACTTGTATAAAGAATACTTTTGTATTTCTTTAAAAAAGTCAGATAGTTGATCGCGTGGTTGCTATTAGATTTTTTATTTACTTATGGCATAGGCATCATAGTGCCTACTCTTTTACGCTAGGAGTTATGATTTTCTCTTATAGTTTTGCTTTGATTTTGGAGTGAAAAGGAACATCTTTATGAGATGAATGCAATCTATATCTCTCCTTTCTTTGATTAGAAACAACTCAATATCTTGCTTTAAGGATTTAACATCAAATAACATAGCGAACGGCTACTAGCATGCTTCAGTTCGACTCTTACTGTGAGCTTAGGTTCCATAGCTTTAGGAGCCATTTCCAAGCCTAATTTGATCTAGTAAGGAGTCATTATTTTCAATGTTGAAAAATGAGGCCTTCATTCTCTTCTTCCAAATCAGGCCGATTTTGACTTTCTTAAAAAGGTGTTGGAATGGGGATAAAGACTACTGAAAGTGACTCCAATAGGTATCCTTGGCCTAATTGGCTGGGCTGCCCAGTTGAATTTCATGCAAGAAATCATTTGAAAATTGGATGACTTTGTGTTCAAATTAGCCGCATCCGCTTTGTTGTGTGGGTGGAGCCTCTTGTTCATTTAGAGCTATCGAAGCTCATTTCAAAGTCTTCTTGGGAACAATTCTCAATATTTGGGGGAAGGATTACCGATCCCATGGAAAAGGAATGCCTCTATTTATGTTATGCATTTAATACCTTTATTTGTGCTTTTAGGCAGGAAAAGAGAACTAGCCTATTTTATTGAACTACAAGCCTAGCATAGGATAAATCAGCGAAGCACGGAGGCTTGAAGTCTTAGATGAGATTGCTAGGAGAACATGCAACAATTGGATTCATCACGCTCTTAGAATAGATGTCCGAACACCTATCCCAACACGGAGAACTTATCCACTAAATCTACATAAGGAATAGTCTAGTCCAATATTTCTTGTCTTTCAGTGACAATAGTGCCGGATCCCGGAACTTCAAATACAAAGCAACAATCTTTAAAAAGGCATATGGACCCCTCCCATCCCACTCCGTATAGAGTTAAGTCCATCTCTTCTTCGGTCTCTTTAGTTTGGTCGGTCTTCAATTACTAGGGCTCAACAATTAGCCGCCAGCCTTTTTTTTAGAATAAATTATGGTTGTCGATCTCCAACTCAACCTCGTTTTTGTGATTTAGGGTGGTGGGTGGTTAAGACCATGCATCCTAAGGCATGGGCAGTGTGTTGGGTATAGATAAAAAAGTTTACCTATAAAGACAATCCAAAGAATTGCTTTGAGGCTGACTATTTTGTTCAATTATGAAGGAAAGTGAGTAATGGCGTAAAACACCATGTTCAGAGCGTCTTCGTTGAATTTGAGCATGCATGTCTTTCGGTCTGAATCTACAACAAAGTAGTTTGACTTCATGGACGAAATAGTCTCCCTGCTTCTTTAATTTAGAATTAATCAAATTTTCCCAAGTCAGAGTCGAAACTACGACCAATCAGTTAACAGTCAACCGATCTACCACTGAGCTACTAAGGAACAACAGAAGATTAGATCTCATAGAATTCAATTCCCTTTCTCAACCCATGACCAATTTTTACTCGAAACTTCTTCGTAGGGGCTCCCTTCCATGCCTCATTTCATATGGACCCTCAAAGTGGCTCTATGTCATTATATTTCATTCATTTAATATTCCTTTAGTGTCATTGGCGTAATAAATGTTGTTTCCAGTCTATTTATTTTTATTTCTTTTCTATATATTAAAAGTTTAAAAATCGTTATATAATAATCCAAAAATTGTAATAGAAAAGAAAAAGGAAGGTTTGTGATGATTTTTAAAGAAGCCCAAGTATTCTTCAGTATTTCTCAATGACCGATAATGTACAAGTATCATGAGGGAAAGGTGAAAAGAACCCAATTTAGGGAGTGCAATAGAGAACCCAAGATTCGATGCGAACAATCAGTCGAAGGAATAGTGCTTAAAGCCTTTACTTTCTAAAGCGCACTTACTCTAATGGCATACCTTTTGCAGAGGAGATATAAAACAAGCAACCTCACTAATAAAGTGGCAACAAGTACCCTTTTTCTCAAAGTCAAATTTCTTCTTTCTTGTTTTCGTTTGATTGGAGCTAGTGCACTTTACTAATATAAAAAATAAAGGTTGTTCTCTTGTTCTACGAATCTACAACTCTCTTTACTAAACGAGACTTCATACATATCCCTACTAGTGGTTATTCTAGATTTTCCATTTTATCATTTGTTTGATAGCTTAAAGTAGGCTCCACTGCATATAGGATTTCAGTCTTAATCAAGATAGGTCAATGGGTCAATTCATCCTATCTCCCTTTCAATCAGCTTGCTAATATAACAATTTCGTATATAGATTGTTCAAAGCTTCAGTGGTACATCTGCTTTGATCAATGGCTGAATCAATCTACACATGAGAGATGGGGAATTAGATTTCTAGCCAGCGGAAAAGGCATTTCTTGACGTTCTTGAAATCTTCGCACATGAAAAAGTTCAACTTCCGCTTGACAATGCCAACTAAACAAAAACTCTCTCTACGGTCTGTGATACCTACCGTGGACTCTAGTTACTACTGACCGCAAACCAAACGGAAAGAAGGAAAACTTTTTTGAAATCCCAAGCGAGTAGAACGAACTGCTTACCGTAGTTTTACTTAGATACAGTTTTCAGAAAGCGCTGGAACTTTACTATCGAAGGAACAATTTGATTCTCTAAGCAAGCAGGTTTTGGTATTGGATTCTTCTTTCTTGACTTAGACCAAGCTTCTCATAAACTTTGATTTTCGGGTAGCCCAACACTAACTCTTCAATATATCTCTTGTTGGAAGTACTCCTGATCCAATTGATAACGAGTAGACCCAAATAACTCGATTGGGGTAGTTGTTGAACCATACTACATAGTTCCGGCAACAACAAAAACTGCAAAAAAGTCAAAAGCAATATGACTGGAAAAGAAAGTTTCAATATTGTCCATATGCAATCTTTGTATAGACGTAGATTTTTATGCAAGACTTGTACCGTTTGGTATCATGTATTTGTCCTTTAAAAAAATAACAAACCATATATATAAAAGGATGAAAACCCAAGGATCAAAATGTCGTGTCGACACGTCCGAAACGTCCGAAACGTTTCGGAATTTCAACACTCCGAAACGAAACAGTAGTTGAATCACAAAATTCCAGTGTTTCGGTCGAAACGGTACTGTTTCGGACAGTTTCGGTCGAAACGATACTGTTTCGGACCGTTTCGGTCGAAACGGCATTGTTTCGAACCGTTTCGACAAAACAGTGATATATTCGGTTCATTATGAATAATTACATTTAATACCCCATTATAATTACATTTAATACCCACTGTAATTACATTTAATACTCACTATAATTATATTTAATATCCCACTATAATTACATTTAATTCCCACTGCTCTTCTGTCTTTTATAATTTTTTTGTTATAAGAATAAATAATTACACTTAATACCCTACTATAATTATATTTAATACCCATTATAATTATATTTAATACATACTGTAATTATATTTAATACCTCACTGCTGTGCAAGTTTTTTGCTTTTTTTTTTTGTTATAAGTATTAACAATTACATTTAATACCCTAATGTAATTATATTTAATACCTACTGTAATTACATTTAATACCCACTGCAATTACATTTAATTTTTAAGTATACATAAGTATCATTAATTTAATTTGATACCCTTCATTATTAGTATTATAATAAAATAGTATTATTAATTGGATTATATTACCGTAATAATATGATTTGGAGTAACTATTGTCATCATATTTATGTCACATATGGAGTTTCTCTAAGTAGCTACCCAGAGCCTACACCGATGTATGAGCCTGCTCGACACTCCACAGGGGAATGGATGTAACCATGTAAGTATGTACTCATTAGCATTTCATGTGTATTATAAGACCTTAATATTATGTAAAAATGTGTTTATTTCATAAAAATTAAGTGTTTGAAACTAATTTAAGTGACTTTCGCCTCAAGTCAAGCCTTTTTTTCCCTCAAATTTAAATTTATTCTTGTATAAATTGATGTTAACCTAATAAATATGTTGAATTAATAAATTATTTAGCATATCTTTATAAATTAATGGATTGCATTTGTGTTTCTATGCGTTTCCATATTTTTTCTGCGTTTCCATTGCGTTTCCGAAATGTTTCCGAAACGTTTCTATTTTTGAGTTGACCGAAACGGTACTTCGAAACAAAATTTTGATCCTTGTGAAAACCTCAACCTAAATCAAATCTGAACACCCCTTTCTTTCTCTAGAAACTCTCCCTCACTCTCCTATTCTTCCTCGCTAAAACAGTGAACCTCTACAAACCACCAGACCTGATACCTCATGTAGGCGCAAGTCCACAACTTCTTCATAGCTCTCATCCTATTAGCTCTACTTGACCCAACCAAAAGCAATCTTGAAGATAACATCCTCTCAACTTTTTCGACTGATATAATTCTATCTCACACTTTCATATAATCTTTGTCTCTCTGCAAATTTTCAATTTCTTTGCTGTCTTGTTTTCTATGGCTTTATCACGTGTCATCAATTTGTTATTTTTGTTTTTGGATTTTCGGTTTTTGAAGGAGAACTATAAAAAAGTGGAGGGACTGGGACAATTGAAACTTCATTTTTTTTCTCTATATGTTTTTCGTGTGTGACTCTCTGATATCTTCATTTTTTTCCTATTGGTTTGGACCAGAAAATGATGATTTTATCAGTTTAGGTCTATAAATTTGTTGTGCAAATTAACTAGACTTGGGTTGAAGCATACTGTTTAGATCTGACCAAATGGGACTCAAGGCCACCTGATGACCAAACCGAAACTGACCAACATGTAGGGTGGGTTCTCGATTCGGTTGTTCATGTAGAGAGGTTCGGTTCCGTTTGGCATTCTCACTTCCGACTGGTCGGTTGAATGCCCCTAGTATATTGTGTATGATGGAGCAGACAAGGGCTGGCTCAACATCATTAAAAAAAAAAAAAAACATGGGCTTTAGACCCCAAATTTTTAGGTACATTACTGACCCATAAAAAAATTAAATCCTTCAAATTTTAAACCCTGAAAAAAAGGCTCTAAAATATTAAGTACAATCAACATTTTTATTGTAATAATTTAGGTCTATGATTCAATTCAAAACATTAGAAATCTAAAAATCATAAGTTGAAAAAATAAAAAGTACTAAAAAATCAATTCATATTTATCTCTATTCTCTCTCTTTTTCTGTGTAAGAATTAGTACAAAACATTAAAAAAAAGTTAAAATTAAATTCTCTTCCTGATAAAAAAAACAAAAATAAAAGTTAAAATATTTTTTTCAGTAACACTAGTACATCATTCTTCGGTCTCTCATTTAATAAATTGAAAATAAATTATTTTTTTTAAAAAATTAATATTAAAAATAAAAAAGACCTAATTTAGTGTTTTTGCCTTAGGCCTCCAATTGCCTTAAGCCACCCTTGGAGCATACTACTATACATCCAACAGGATTTTCGGTATGGTACCGAAAATCCAATGTCCACTGTAGATCTATGTAACAAGAAACGTGAGCCGTTGATTAATGTGCCCTTTCAAATTTTCTTTTTTTCTAAAGAGTAATCGGTTACCTATTTGATACCGATTGGTAGAAAAGACAAGACATTGAAATAACATGTCATGTAATATTACAAGTAGTTTTGTTACCATAATGAAGGTAACGTTTACAACTTCAATGGATTGTTTACCAAATTTTTAGGAATATTTACAATTTTAATGGTATGTTTACCAAATTTGTGACGATAATTCCAACTTCAGTGGTATGTTTACCAAATTTGTGAAAATAATTACAATATCAGTGATATATTTACCAAATTTGTCAGAATATTTACAACTTCAATGAATTTTTTTACCAAATTCATGGCAAAATTTACAAATTCAATGGTATTTTTACCAAATTTGTGACAATAATTACAACTTCAGTTGTATGTTTACCAAATTTGTGAAAATAATTACAACCTTGATGATATGTTTACCAAATTTTTCAGAATATTTACAACTTCAATGAATTTTTTTTGTAGTCCATGATCGATCATTAAATATGATCGATGGATCCAAACACACAGGTTTGCTTAATTTATGAATATTTTACATCTGATCCAAGAAGATATACAACTTTAATGGATAATTTACGACTTTTATGATATTATTTACAACTTCAATGGATTCTTTAGGGGAATAATTATAACCTTAGTGAATTGTTTATCAAATTTTTGTGGGAATAATTACAAGTGCAAAGGATTTCCTACCACTTTTATGGAAATATTTATAAATTCAATGGATCATTTACGATATTTATGGGACTATTTATAACTTCAGTGGATTTTTTACCATATTTGTGTAAATAATTACTATAGTAAAGGTTTTGTTACTATATTAAAAGTAGTAATTACGAGAGTTGTCAATTTTTTTACGAGATTTGTGAATCTTTTTTATGGGAGTTATAC